AGAAATTCTGCAATGACTGCAGATGCTGAGGCACATCACTTTCAAAGTGTCAAAGTGATGGCAAAGATTAAACCTGGAGACGCCATCTTCGATTTTATTGATAAACGCTGGTGTAACTTAAAGCAAGAATTTATGAATCGCGAAATCTTTCTCATGCGGCGTCTTGACTACGTAGATATGCTTTTAGAAATTATTGGCGTTACGGAAGAATTTCAGGCGATTTGGAAACTTATGCAGGATAGGAGTCCAACGGAAAATAGTCTCCTAATTTTGGAAAATCGAGTAAATTCTGCAGCGGAAAAGGTGTCAAAACTGTCACCCAATTGGGGTTTCATTACAAAAACTAATGCAGAATCCATTGTTGGTCGGCTTTATGCAAGATTCCTGGGTTTAAATTGGATCATCCTCTCCGCGTTTCACTCCTACAAGAGATATTTCACCGAAATTGAAAAATTCCTAGCCCTTTCCCGCAAAGTTTGCAAGAATTTGGCCACTATCAAAGTAAGATTTTGCCTTGCGTGACTTGTCCACCGCTAATAAAGTCCAAATTTCTCATTTTTTTCTATTTGCTCTTTTTTCTGCTCTAGGGTCAGCTAAGATTTGTCAACTCACTCTTGAATTCCATCGAGAAAGCGTCTTTTGATCCACTCAGTAGTGGAAGAAATGATACGATTAATTCACTTTTAAGTAAGGTGAAACTTATCACTCATGAAGTAAATCGACAAACCGTTGAATACAGCATTTCAAGTGACTTTACGGGAAATAATTTGCATAAAAATGAAAAGAAAAGTTCCACAGGAATGGAACTATTCACAGTGCATTCTCATTCATCACAATTAGTGCGATGTAAAAGTGTGGAAATAATCACCGAAGATAAAATTGATTACCTTCCCTCGAGAATTCGGCGTAACATCATTACCAAACGCATTCATGAAGAATTTGAATTTCAATATCTGCAAGATTTATACCTTGTACATGAGCTGAAATCCAATTTGCGGGAAAAAATAGCCTTTCAGAGGGAGAAGATAGCCGAAAAGCAGGTTCACCTTTTCAAGCAGTCTGAATATCTGCAAGAGAGGCTATCGGGTCTGCAATCTGTGGTTGACCTTCTCACATCAACTTCAACAATCCAGGTGGATATTAATGAAATACAGGAGTGGATTGGTCATACTTTGGTCTACTTTGCGGAAAATCCACTTCCCGACGCTCTAACTGACATTTTGGAGGGAACTGACACAAGCAAAGAAGTATGGTGGGAAGAACTTTTCCACTCCAACACCATTTTCTTGGCACACTTGAACATTCAATCCCGGATCAATAAGAAGTTGCATGTAAGAACAACATGTTTCTTTTACTCATCACAAAGCCGTACCAATATAAGTACGAGATGAGCTCAGTGAGGAATAAAAATAGGGCACTGGCGGTGGGTAAGCATATGAAGTGAGGATTTAAGGAGTCTACATGGGTTTGAATTGTGGAAACTTTAAGTTGATCCTATTCTCCCCTTTAGCCAATATTCAAAGCTCGATTTTGCCCTCGTTTGGTTCTATGCTATTTTTGGATGAGTTCATGGGTGCAATATCATGAGTGCTAGAAAGATTTAACAAAAAAGATAAGCATAACATTGAGGGGAGTTGTCAACTCATATTAACCCCCCCCCCCCACGGCCCGCCCCAATTGATGATCGAAAAATCAATCCGCTGAGGCGTAAATTCTGTTTATTGTGTCCTTAAATTTCATAAACGAAATAACCCGGCGCCAAATAAAAACTCTACTAGGAATTAAGACACGAGCATATCAATAGAATATACTGTGGTAAAATCCCCCTTCCACATAAAAATGGTAATAGAAATTCATTTGGACACTGGCATTTAATTTCTGAGAGTATGGAACCACTAAAAGCAGCCCGTATATACACCAATTTCGTAATCATATCGTTGTTGTGCTGAAATTCTGGTGTTTTGCCAGCTTTTTTTTCACTTCTCGGCAAGGTGTTACGTCAACGAAGTAAAATTATAACTTTAATTCAATTTTCGGGGAAAAAAATTTTATTTACTTCTTTAAGTATGTATTAAAATCTCCAGTTTTCCTACTTACATTATGAGCGATCTTATATTACACAGCTTTATTGTCCTTGCTTCAGTTATTCCTGAGAGTCGATGAATCACGAAGTATGTTGGATGAAATAAAGAAGAGATTTCGCTCGTCATACGAAACTGCCTGGCAGCAGCAAGACGATGAAGAAGATAAAAACGACGAGGTGGTGGAGGAGGAGGAGCAGGAGGAGGAGAAGGAGGAGGGCTGTTGTTTTGAGCGAATATCAAATAAAATTTTTGCTGCGAATCACAGGGTTCTTGAGAAACTCGATGGTGATCTGGATAAGATCTGCGACGAGGCAAATAGAAGAATGCAAGAACTTCAGAGTGTAAAGCAAAATATTCATGCAGTCCAAAATTGCTGTCGACTGCTGGACTGGATTCGTGCAAGGTAATGACTAATGCTGGATCGATTTTTATCTCAATCCATCCATTTATTGTGCCTGCTTAAAAATAATGTTGGCTGTAAAATCCTTATTTTTTTACCAACAATGTAATATTTCAAAATATTTATTTACTTATTTATATCAAATGGCATGCGTTTTGATGGGTATCATTAGCCCTTTAATTAACTTCAGGCTTCACAGAGAGGAGGAGGGACATCAAAGTGACAGAAAGTGGAGAGGGGAACAGAAGAGCGATTCACAGATGTAAAAGAGGCAGTCAGACACAAAGGTAGAAAAAAGGTAAGGTGAGTACCATTGAAGTGGTCGAATATGGCATACAGTGGGATCATGGCAGTTTGAAGTCAGAAGTCAAGTGCCAGTTAATAGACTTTTTTTCTGTATGAGTATACGTTGCCCAGAGTGCACCATGTGGAGGTAAGTCTATCACACACCCCAAATTTCAAAATATTCGTATTTGCAAAATTACATATCCACTTACTGAACCAATCAACACATGATTTTGTTGCAGTTAGTCACGTGGTTCCCCAGGTTGAGAAATCCGATTTTGGCCATCATAATAAATTATTGATTATTTTCCCGCACTGGATGGTATCCACTAAGAGGAGAGCTGTGTAATATTGTGATGCCAAATAACCGATGTTCATTCAGTCATTGGACACGTTGCAACTATAATGAATTATTGTAAAAAGGCATTCAAAACCTTGTTAGATATGTATTTTTAAAATTATTAGATTAAAGTTACTTGTATAAATTTAGAGCGTTGCATCTGATCTAATAATCACCCTGACATTTATAACTAATTACGATGAAAAGATTCAAGCAGGGCTTATTTCATCGAAATTTATTGCTTTAACATTGAAGTAAATACTACTTGAATGCGTTTTCACTCTGTACATTGATTAATATTTCAAATTTAAACCTAACAGTAGATGATAAAAGTGGAGACACGGGCCTATCAACCTTTCAAGAGAATTTTAATTGTTTACAACGCTTTTCAGACCCTATAATTTTCTCGCTTATGATCAAATTTTATTGTTGAAATTTGCCTGCTGAAACGAGATTGTTGCTCCGTAATTACCACCATATAACGAGTTTGTATAAAGCTTGACGTTCCAAGGTGAGTTAAATTCATTACCCCAAGACACGGAGAGTTTTGTATCAGAGTAAAGTTTAATACATGACGTTTAAATATCGAGGAGCTCCTATAATTGAAAGAAAAGAAAATGACAGGATAAATAAGATAACCCTGAATGAATATATAATCAATAAAACAAATAGCTATCAATCGAAATTGAATAGGAGAGCTGTTTTACTCAGGAATGGATATCTTTGACCTTCATTAATTGCTAAGCTGGTCCCTGGTCTGTAAATAGAGCATTTAACTTGGAATTGAGCAATACCTCCGTTAAAATATAGGAGAATTCTCCCAGCGCATCTAATCAACCTCATTTGTGGACAAGGATTTGTCTTAAAATTGTTCAAAGAATGATTCATGCAATATCCCGGAAAAGGTCAAATATAGGGCCTGTTTTGCTGATCTTTAAATAAAAAGACACTTGATTTCCTAGTTAATAAGTCAGAAAAATTGCATTAATTGTGCTTCTTTTTTTAGTGAAGAAGGACTATCGAATATCGAATCTCCATTTCATAGGCTGTCGCTGAAAGCTTCAGCTGACCTATATCCATTCCTATTGAATGAGCCATTTCTCGTAGCGCTAGAAAAGGAGATTGATTTCAACATATCGGCTTCCTTGCCAGTACTTCAAGATTTACAATCAAAACTTCAGGCGGCTTCACCATGGAGGGATGTCTTGGAATACGCATTCAACTCCTGGAATGAACTTATAAATGCTAGTAAAATGAAACGCCTATCGATCGACACAGCTCAACGTCTACTTGCTCTGAATGACGAGATTTTAAGCACCCGTCTTTGGGTCAAAGACAAGAAGGGGCTTCTTTTGACAACTCGACAAACAAAAACCACTATGGGAGAGATCATTCGAATGGAATGTAGAATGGCTAATTGGAAAAACGATTTGAATGCTCTCAAGGAACGTATAGACCAAGTGTTTGAGGAATCAGAGGCGTTACAGGTGTCTCTTGAAGAACTAGAATCCCCACTAAGTGCTGAGGCTGATAATGGGGCCAATGTTAAGGAGGCTAAAGACACACTTGAAAAATGGAGCGAAGAGCTGAGGGTTGAATGGCTTGAGTTCAATACTTTGCTGGACGATTATCAAAAGGATCTGGAGGAAACTTTGGCGCTTCAAAGTATGCTACAGGTAAATCACTTTTATTTTCCTTTAATACGCTATTCGGTGTATTCATATGTCTATAGTAATTGAAAATGTATTTATATTTTCCCTTACCCTCACCCCCCCCCCCCCCCCCCCCCCCCGAATAAATAGGAATTGGAAGCGATGAACACCCTACTCACTAGCAAGCAGAATACAATTACATCCTTGGAACTCCCAACGTCAATAGGTGAAATAGACGAGCAAAAAGGAATCTTTCGATCGATTGTCACTGATCTTAATGCCTCGGATGACAAATTGCAGAAACTAATGGAATATGGGCGAGAACTAGCCGCTACTCAAGAGGAAGCTGTGTCATCGGCGGTTATTGAAAAGTTGGAAAATCTCAACAATGAGTGGATAGAGGTGCTCATCCTCTGCAATCATCAAATCGAAAGTCTAACTCGTCAGAGAAATATTCAGGCAAGTAGCTTATAAATTTCCATCTTGCATTCATTTATTTTTTTATAACTTGTCATTCCATTTTATCATGTTGTGGTTGCTTGTTTTAAGGATATTTTTTTCCTCAGTTGGAAATCAACAAAAAATACATATTTACATTTATAAAAATTTTACAATAATTGGCAGTAAAAAATTTAGTTAACATTTCTTGAAAATATTTCAATCTATGCAAAAATGATGCGCAGTTTTCTTTATAGGAATTCATACGCGATGTTGACTCTCTCAATGCTTTACTTAGTCGACGGGAAAACCAAATAGAGGAGGCATTTTACTTGGTATGATCTAGTTAATAATAATAATAATAAAACAATATTGTTTTACTTTTTCCAATTGCCTACTTCATTTTAGCCTACAATCGATTGTATTCAAGGAAAAATAAACTCACAGAGGCAGGTTCTATCAATGATTCGAGCTCTTTCAAACCAGGTGGAAGAAATCAATACAAGGGCGTCCATCAATAAATTTGAAGACAAGTACCGAGTGAAGGCGGTATCACTTGTAAATAAGTGCGTTAGTAAGATGTCTGTTTATTTACTAATATATACCCACCAAATTGTCTTGTTTCATGCGGAAAACTTCATACCTGGTACTTAATTCGCAAAGAAACTGTAACTCTCCTAAACTGTTGTATTGTTAAGAATCTATTTTCTGGTTTTATAATCAATCTACCTACTAGGTATCGCAAGGAAGCGGTTGACACAGACGTGACAGAAGCCAAATCACTCCAAGATGCATCGTTGCTTTAATAAAAATTATAAATGGATATCGGTATTTGTGTCTAGAGAACGAAATGCGCTTGAAATGAGAACAGCTATTATTATTATTATGAATAAATCTTGAGCTGTCAGGATAAGATTAGGAGGCGGCCAAATGTGGGAACTGCTCATTCTGAGACAAAACAAATTTTGCGGCATTGAACTCGGTTTTGTTGGCTGCCTGTCAAGTTTGCGGAAAAGATTCGTCAATGCTCGATTTTGCAGCAGTATTTGCATTAAAAATAATATGAATTGAGGCATTCCTATTTAAAATACCATGCACCGGATAAATTAAAAGTTTAAACGAATAAAGGTTTTTCAAATGGATATAACTCATAAAGTTTATTATTATTATTATTATTTCAAATGGCAGGCTTTTTGAAATTTATCATTAACCCTTAAATTTTGACTTCAGCTTCCCCAAAGGTGGGGGGTACATTTATAGCAGTTAATTAATAGCAGTTCATTAGCTGTCTTCTTGCTTCCCAGTATCTTTGGCTTTCCGTCCTTGTCTTTAGAGCTGGACATCGAATCAGGTGGGTCTTCTCCATTTCCTTCTGTAGGTTACATAGAGGGCATGTGGGTTGAGTGCATACTCCCAATCTGTGAAGATGTTTTGCCAAGCAATCGTGACCGGAACATAGTCTAAACACAGCAACGGCTTCGATTCTTGGCCAGTCGGCTATATCGGAGAGTGCCACTGTCCACTGTTTCTCCTTTGTTCGAGCTTTAAGTTCGTTGCACCTTGAGGTCTTGAATTCTCTTCTGATTAAGGCCAAGATGAATGAAGGTTTTTTAAATGGATATAACTCATAAAAAGAGAATATCTTGCAAATTTTGATAACGAATGTTTGGTCATTTCAATATGTGTTTGTGACTGAACTTTAGTCTACTCACAATGGGTAAAACGATTAATCATTGTTAGAAAAACTGGATAAATAAATGAGTTTGTGTGAAAAGTTACTGTTCAATGCATTTTGAACATCTCAATCACTCTCCATCTTGCGCTACAATTAGTTGAGTAACAAATTTCATCTTCTTTAAATTGCCTAAATGTACAAAGGTGAATATAAAATAAACTTACTCTCTGACACTTCCAAGTGACAAAAAATTAATTTAATTATTTAAATGGTGATTTTTATTAAACAGTAATGCTGTTTTTATTGATAACCACTGTCAATTATTGACTACTTGATCAAAAAAGTTAACTAGAGGGTTTAGTTATATATTATACATTTTGAAATTGGATTGGTTGCATTCTGAACAACTTTAGGATGAATTGCCTGAATTCGTCGTTATTCAAGAAAAAATATTATCCATTTTTTTTCATGTTAAAATAATTCCATTGAATCTGCATAATTGAATGTAGATACAAAGATGTCGAGTCAAAGGCTGCAGTGGTTTTGGATTTGCTGGTATTCAGACTCACCGAAAAGGAAAACATGAATCAACTTGAAAGTGTATGTCGAAGTTTGTCTTGAATAATAATATTTCATTAATAGCAGAAGCGTCTACAAATGTGTTCATTATTTTCAGCCTTATTACGTTACATTTTTATGTGACAATTTTTTAAATATAATTACTACAAACAGAAAGGCAATAATAGAAAGGAGAATATTTAAACAATTTATGCAGTTTAAATATTTTTCAATGCGTTATTTCAAGTTTATTATTTATTTTTTACTATTAATATTCAATTTATTAATTTGTTTGAATATTTTAAAGAGCCACTCGCATTAAAGCCTTTTACTTATTCTAACTTAGCATTATCGCATTAAAACACCGACAATATTTAACGGTACCACTGTCGACTTCAATTTTATTCATTTCCCTTTTATTATTAATTATTAGTTAGAGGAATGGATTTTGGAACGGTTGGCTGCGGTAAATGCGCAATTTGCCACTTCAGAAACGGGTCTCAGGGAGCAGAAAGCGATTCATAAATATCACCTTTTCAGAAATTTCGAGGCGGAAGTCAACAGCTACGAAAATCTGGTGAACGAGACTTTCCAGGTATGGAATTCGAATTTTTCTATAAAAAAAGAGTTTGCGCTTTATTTCTTAATTTTAATTAACGAAGATTGAAAAAAACACATCAAATTCGAAATTGCCCGTTTTTGCATTATTCAAAAATATTTATTTATTTTTATCAAATGGCAGGCGTTTTGATAGTTATCATTAGCCCTTCAGTTGACTTCGGGCTTCACAGAGGGGAAGGAGCATCAAAGTGTTGACTTCGGGCTTCACAGAGGGGAAGGAGCATCAAAGGGGAAAAAATTCGAGAGGGAGAGGGAGCAGAAGTGTGTTTCAAAGATGTAAAAGATGCAGACACAAAGGTAAAGAAAAAGGTAAGATGAGTATTGTGGAAGGGGTCGAATATGACATACAGTCGGGTCATGGTGGTTTGAAACCAGAAGTCAACTGCCAATTAATAGACCATTTTGCCGTATAAGTATACGTTATCCAGGGTGCACCATATGGAGGTAGGTCTATCGCACACCCCTTATTCAAAAACAAAGATATGCAAAATTATCCTCTAAGTATTCATTTACCATCGGGACATCGAGGTGACATGAAGGGATCCGCAGCGATACTTACACCAGTCTTCAAATAGTTTGATCCCATTTTCTTACTCTTTGACCCACTTATGTGTTGTCTTCACTGTTATCCTGTGGCATAACCACAATCCAAATTGGTCTTCACCACTACTCGCTAACTTAAGATTTTAGGCAGGGAAACTCACCATTGTTTCTTCTGCCTTCATCCATTTCTTCAGAGTAAGTTGCTTCTAATAAACCTTCCTCTTTCTGTCTCTGTTTTAAAAGAAAATAACTGAAGGCGGAACATCTCAACTTCCACTATCTAAGCTTCATTTTCATCATTATTCCAATCTGCAAGTGACCTTAATATGCCAGTTCTTTAGAAAATTTCGTTCGCGATTTGTCACAGTTCCCGTTTTGCCTCGTAAGCTGGCACATTTTTAATTGGGACCTTCTTGCTAAATTATAACTAATTCTTCAGAACTTTGTTCCATTGGAGGCACAAATAAAGCATTTTTGGAAGTGCTTTGAAACCAGACAAGTATTGATTTGAAGGGCCTCCAAAAGCTGATCAAATCGTAAAATCGTTATTTTCTAAGCGGAAATTTTGTGACATATTATCTGAATGTTATCGATTTAGCATTGAATGAGAGCATTTTTGCATTACAGAGTGTTAAATTAATCAATGAGAGATATCCTAACTATGCTGACAGTTTGAAAGAAATTCTAAGGAAAAATGAGGCGCTCTGGAATGAACTGAAGACAACAGTGGCTATTCAAGGAACCAAACTCATCAAAGAATATCGTGGTAAGATTTCTTGTGGGCTTTGATCTTGTTTTGGTAATTTGCGAACTGATTAAAAATTTTCTTGCATTTTGAACATTAAGCAATAATTATACTGGAAGGCTGCGAGGAGTTGATGGAATGGCTGCAGAAAACTTCAGTGAAGATATTTGGTCACCAAAGCTACAACTACTTGAAAGGGGATTTGTCACCTCACCCCAAGGCTTCACTAACTTGCCCATCTGGGTCAATGACCCAGTTAACCTCTGAGCAGTTAACTGATTATCTTTCGTCAAAGCAGAGACGCCGATCTGTCTCCCAAAATTGTGTCGACTACTTGTCCACTGGTTGTCGGGATTTTGCGGAAAACTTTGATCTCAGTGCCCTGAACTCCGCCATTTGTAAACTTAATGAAATCAAAACGAAAATGGGGACAAAATGGGCATTTTTACACGAATTAGAGGTTAGTGTGCCTTAATATTGTACCATGTTTGTATCAATTGCTTGCCAATAAGTTTGAAAATTACGACAGTGGTAAATATTAAATTTTATTTTCAAAGAATGCCATTATTCAATCCAGAAATTTGATATTTAAACGAAATTTAATTAAGGAATGGCTAAATGTATACTTGATGTCAATAACAAATCCCTCCAATTGAATGCTCAATACTTAAATTTTTTATTTGAATAAAGGGGGATTAAATTTTTCCCAGTAAACGGCGATTAATTATATCTGTCCTTTTAAAATTGCCCAATCCCATTGATGCTTTTAAAATTGGAGAGCTTTACCACGCGGAATGTTTAGAAAACGCTAGAGAAAGTTTCAATGAAGTTTCAAATGAAATTTCCTTTTCATTTATTCTTATTCATGAAAACCGACAAAAATTCCATTTCGCATATAAAAATTGAAATTTTTTCTTGTGAGTTACGCATTGAAGGACTTTTGCTTTGAACCATCTCGGCAAATTCTTACGAAAACGAGCATTAGGTATGCAACACACCCCACCCCCACCTCTAACCCCCCCCCACCCCCACCCCCACATTCCCATACCCATAAAAATATTCGCCAAAATTTCATGCCAAATTTGAGCATTCATTTAAAGCCGCTCTCAAAGTTAAAGACTATAAAGCTATACAACAATGAACATAAAGTAGCATTCTGTCAAGATACATTTCTTATTTTTTCAAAGGACAGCGAAAAAAACTTTGTAGCATTGAACCATTCGACGGTGTTTGGAGTGATGGAACTATAAATGATTTTTTTCTAAGATGTGAAATGCGGGAGGTGGAGAACGAGCGCGATTCAAAGTCAGAATATCACAAGATTTATAGTATATTCACAGAGGAGAAAGGCTCGGCCACTTGCGACTCTTTGTTCTACCCTCACCATTTCATTCCCAAGGGGGCATTTCAACCGATGGATTTCCATTCCGTAGTCGGTCAAACCGCATTGATTTCTGACATCCAAGAGATTGTAGAAGAGTTTGGTGAATGGCATTTAAAGAGTTATCAGCATTGCTCGCAATAGTAAATGAACAAGTACACCTCTTAAAAGCCACTGAACTTGATCTACAGAAACTTTGCTAGGCTATAAAGGAACGAGAGAATCAACCGTACTTCGAGAGCATTGTCACTAGATCGGGAAGTCTTTCTTCATTTGAATTTTGAATTTGGCTTTCTCACTATTTACTAAAAGAGCTGCTCATATTTCAAAAATCGATTTCCGGCTGTTGAGAAGACAAGGTGACTTTGCATTATCAATTGTCTTAACATGCCATTTCAAAATGTGAGCAAATATTAATCAGCAAATTTTTCCTAGGAGCACTTTCAATCGCTGCTGGAAAACAGGGGCAAGTTTGCGCAACACGGGAGAATGCTGGAAGAGGTGTCTGCAAGATTTGAAAAAGTGGATTCATGGCTCGCAACCTGCTTCTTCAATGTCTCAGCTCAAAGAGATGTTATCAACGTTCTTAGGTGAATGACGTGAATTCCGTGATTTATACTTGCCATTTTTTCATATCCTACTTTGAAATTTCAATATTGTTTTTTGGTAACACCCTTCTTTCAGAACTCTTAGTGATGAGATCCAGTGGATGGAAGTGAAGCAAGTGCAGTTGGAATCAGAAACTACGGCCCTCTCCCTACTCGATGTGCAGAAACACACCACAAGACACCAGAATCTCACGAATGAAGTCAAAAGTCGCAATTCCAGAAATCAACCCTTGATAAATGTGTGTTCCTTAATTATTATGATAATTATTTAAAAAGCAAACATACCAAAGATAGGAGTTTTAGAAAGAAATGCCTAGCTTAGAATCATAAGTGCATTAAACTTAGGGCCCTACCAGACATTAACTTCTTCGTATTTCACAATTTTATACCAAATTGAAATATTTAGTTGAGAGATTTATCATCCATAAAGACATTTTTCACTCATTTCGTTGAGTTCTCTCAAGCGTTGGAGTAATTACTTAAAGTCCACACCTTGCGGGACGTTTACATAGTCACCTCCCGTTCCCTACAAGCAAAATTTAGAAGTTTGAACAAATTAAAGTAACATTGCAATGCAAAAAAACGACAGCCACTTTATAGAGCCATGGATTCGTATGAAAAGAAATTCGCTTCTGTCCACATGAAGTGAAATTATGCTCTCTGCAAACAGCCCTGTTATTGGAGCATTAACTTATGAGGGAATCAAGTTCAGTTTGCCTTGAGCAGTTACATATTCCATCTTATCTCAACAAAAAAAAAACCCGTTCGATTCACTTGGAAGTTATATTGAAGCACCTGGGATGTGGGATAGACTTACCTCCTCGTGGTGCACCCTGGGCAACGTTTACTCATACGGCAAAAAGTCTATTAATCGGCAGTTGACTTCTCACTTCAAACTGTCATGACCCCCCCCCCTGTATGTCATATTCAATCACTTTCACAGTACTCATCTTACCCTGTCTGAGCCCTGCTGTTGGTCTGTTTCATTTACGTCTGTGAATCACTCTTCTGTTCTCCCTTCCGAATTCTTCTCATTTTGATGTTCCCCCCCCCCTTTGCGAAGCCCGAAGTCAGCTAAAGGGCTAATGATGACTATCAAAACGCCTGCCATTTGTTATAAATAAATATTGAAGCACCATAGCTAACTGAATTGCAAGTCAATATTAGGTTCAACAATGTCTTTATTTTGTAGATAATTTAGTAAATCCCCACTTATAATTTTAGAGTTTATACCCTCTAATCAGGAGCATGAAAATGAGTTACCTCATCAAAAGACGATGTTACGAAGTGACTTGTAAATTACCTAGTCATATTTCTGAAAATTTTGTCTTAATAATACCTAAATTACAGCTTTCTTGCGGCAGTTTAAAATGTTTAATTCCAGTGGGAAGAATTCTTTAATCCCCATCTTAGGTTGTGAAGGGAAGTGGCCTTTTTTCCCAACCATTTATTGTCCGACAGCTTGTATGATATACCTTCCACTTTTGCTGTAACGTACAATTTATTCCTTTGCCAATATAATTCTCAAGAGAGAGAGAGAGAGAGAGAGAGAGAATGTGTGCGTGTGTGTGTGCGAGGGAGGGAGAAAGTTGAATGTGTTTATTTTTGCTCACATTTTCTGCTTATAAATACTCCCACTCCACTCAGTTTTAGAGCCGCAAATATGGGGGAGGGGGAAATGTGAGTATAAAACGGAATAAATGCAAAAATAATAAGTTATTTGGCCACATTTCGTGACGCTTGACTTTGTGAGGCAAAATGGTGTGAAGGTGAGCTACAAATAGATTGAATGACCTCATTACGAAACTAAATCCTTCCTGTAATACGGAGATTTTGAAACAAATGTTTCTTCTCCACACGTTGACTAAAAATCTAATTATACTCAGTCCTTATTGGCCATTTCGCTCTTCCTCGGTGGCATTCTTGTTTCTACCGACTATCCAAGACCCGATTTTACGAGAAAGAAGGCAAAATTCAAAAGATTTATCAGGAGTGGTGTTTGGTCAAATCGTTCTTTATTTGTAAAGAATAAAGCCTTGTAAGAATTGAAAATGGAGATCCTTGCAATATGCATGATTCGATATTGAAACCAGAATAGGGGAAAGACAAGTTGCCTTTGTTTTGCCGCAATCTTAACTGTTCAAATAGAACATTTTGAGCTTATTAGTTATTCCGATAATAATGATAAAAAGCATAAATTACAATTAATTTAGCTTAAAAAAGGCTTATTTTCTTAAAATTAAATTTTCTCATTGACAGGACTGAACTGTTAAGAACAGAGATATCTTCAATTTAAGTGGGGATGTTAGCTCTTGTCTTGAGCACAGGTCTTAATTACTGATCAATATTGTCAAATTCCTCTATTTTAATGCAGACATCTTACAAATCCACAGAGTAAATAGGTTGTGCTTTGCATCACACTAATGTTTGAAAACATAATCACTGTGTATGACGCCGGTTCAAATGTTATTTCTTGTGTAAAGTCCAAGTTTACACATAACTATATCCTCATTTTAAAACTGAAACCCAATGAAATTTACTCTACATAAATAGCAATTAAATGTTATTTAACAAGTCTATATGACAGTAGTTAAAGCAATGAAAGAAGTGACAAAATGACTGGAGTAATTAAGTTCAAATTAAAGCTGAGTTAGAGAGTGACAATTAACCGCAATTAAAACTACCTCCCTATTAACTATCTCTTCTACTTGGGCGTAAAGACAAGCAGTAGTTCTATTTACTGTCAAAACATGGTGCACCCATTCGGGGTGGTTGGAAAGTAAGTCTTTCTTTCAAAATTAAAATAATTCAATAATATTATTAATAATTGAACGTGAGAGGTACACTCTCGACAGGTTATTCGATCGGGTGATTCCAATAATGAATATATAGCTGGAGTTTTGTGTGACATCTCGTGACATTAGTCTACTGAACCTGAATAAAGTGCTACATCTAATGAAATATTTAGGTACTTACTTTAAAACATTAATTAACTTTAAGTTTTAAGTTCTTTTCGAGGGAAAAAGATCTTAAGTTGATCTAGTTCGTGAAAGAAAAGCAATTCAAAGTGTGCATCAATTTTTTTGGCAATTAAATTTTTGAGCAATTTAAAAAATAAACATTTTATTTATTCTTTCTCTACTTGAGGCTGTAATTGAATGGCTTCAATTATCAGAATTCCACAAAGTACAAACTCTTCAACTTCAAGATGAGAAAGCTTATTGCTCGGCGTTTATAGTGGCTCACAAGGGTGTCTCCGAGGAACTGTTCGCAAAGATCAGTAAATTGATATTTCATCAAGCTCTGATTCACCGAGGTATTGAAATACGCCGTGGTGTCCTTGATCACTGGCGAGCGTGGTTCATTCAACAAATGGATCTGCTTGAGCTCTACAATTGGCTGACAGAGACAGAGTCGACGGTGATGACAGAATCTCATGCAGCAAGAGGATTAGCTTCGGCAAATGCTGCAATCAAGAAGCATTCTGTGGTAGAAGCTATCGTGTCGGGATTTCAGGCCCAAAGGCTAAGGCTTTTGAGTAAGTCAACTACAGAATTTAAACAAATTATAGTGATGCCTAATTCGATATTCTAACAGTCCTCAGTAATTGCCAAGTTTTTGACTGGAAAAGAAGTCGTCTTTCCAAGCAGTGGTATTAGGAGGAGTTGGGGAAAGAATGATGCAGTATTTTAAACTGTTAGCAATAAGATAAGCATCAGAATTTTAGCATAAACGGTCAGGCATACAGATATTTTATCTTTTAAAATATGGTCAACCACGGCGCAAATATCCGACTGTTAAGGCAGTTTAATTTGCCAGAGGGTTCTTGGCTTATTAGCCTGTACCCAGTGAGTTTTATAGGCGTCCACTCTGGTGAGATTTGACTAACAGAAGCGTCCACACTTGCGTTTCGCACAGGAGGAGCTCTAAAATAGCTTCACCAACTGGACAACAACAGCAAATGGTGCTTAGATTAAAATCTAAACGGGTTTGATAAAGAAAACTTGGTGTTAGAAAATGTTTCCTTTAACTTACTCATTTACTTATAGCCTTATTAGGTATTCATATTACCTTGTGATAGTTAGTACACTAAATAAAAAGATATATAATATAATAAATTTGCCCAATTCAGAAGAGTAAATTAATATAATATTTTCATTAGAAAGTGGTAAATATAGAATATGACGCATAACAACACAATGAAATTTTGAGAGATCGTATCAAGTGTTGAAACTGTTCATCGGGAATTTCAGTGGACAACTCATCACGTCACAACATGTTTATTTTCCCGAAAAACTTTTCCCATTCATTTTGTGTGGTCTCCGTAATTGTATCACTATGTTCATGTTCAAATCTTCGTTATCCCTTTTGCGCAGTCCAGAGGTTGTAAAAATATTTCCTGGCTCCTTCTTTACACACACACGCACCTGTAACTACTTCAGCATGTTCTGGCCTGAACTTCATTTGATGTCCGGTTGGGGGGGGGGGGGGTGAGATAGGTGTCTAGTTGCTTCCCGTGGACCTCTTAGCGTAGTCTAGTGAACACGTTGGATATTTTTCGATGGACAAACCGTTACCCCGGGCCCATAGCTCTAAATTTTGGCAATTACTTTTCTGGACAATACCTTTAGCAGAATCAATCGTCCGTGGACATTTTATTAAGTAGACTGTTCAACTAGCCCCCCAATTAACAATTTTCTTCAAATAATTTCCGAGAACAAACACCCTTTTTTCATATTAAAAGCACTATTAATAGGTGCCAATGCAATGTTGAATAATGCATAATTAGCACGAAATGATCGCCTCACACCACCTTTACTCGCCTAAACGATCAATGTATCATCTGTAGCATGATTCAAGACACGCGACCTCTTTTATCTTGGTCATGCTATATTGAAACTGGATTTTTCTCCACTGTTACTTCCAATTTGGCAAAAATTTCAATTTCTCTAAAATATTGACAGTTGTGATATGCCTCCACACAACTTCTCTTCGTTATCTGATGCCTGCATATTGAGCTTAACTCTACTCAATCTAACTAATTCTCCATTTATTTTTTAGATGAAAACCTCTTGATACTATAAATGAATAAAAATAAAAATTAGGTAAATCTTTCTCTCTTTCTGAATTGGTGGTTGCTAAGTTGTAGCAGCCCTTTGAAACTCCGAATTTTAGCTACTAGTATTTTGAGCAGTAAGGGGTGAGTGATAGACTTGCCTCCAAGCGGTGTACCTTGGGCGATGCATACGCATACGGCAGAAGGAGTCTATAAACTGGCAGTTGACTCCTGTCTCTATATCATATTTGACCACTTCCACAGTACTCACCTCACCTTGCCTTTGTGTTTGCCTCTTTAACATCTGGGAGCCACTCTTCTGTTCCCCTCCTCCCCCCCTCGACTTTTATGACTTTAGTGTTCCTCACTCTGTGGAGCACAAAGTCAACTAAAGAGCTAATAATAGCTATCATAAAGCCTGCCATTTTGTATAAATGAATTTTAAGCAGTAATAATAGCGCATTCGGTTCATGCTCTAAAGAAATATTACCATAGACCTTGCCTTCAATTTATTTTTTCCATCTCAGGTGCACGTACTGCCGATCTACTTACTGCAATCGAACGTATGATCATGTTTGAGCAGGCACGATTGAATCGATGTATCAATACCGCCTCTCTCTTTGTTGAAATAGAAGAGGCCTCCAAGGCAAAGGTCTATCGGCACAAACTCCGTCGTCGAATTCACATGCTAGAGAGATCTAGTGGCAAATTGCGTTCAACACAATCCTCAGTTCAAAAGCAATTCACAGATCTTCGAGATTTGGTGATGGAGAAAAAACATCGTCTGTATGAACTTCTGGCTCTTAATCGGCTGTATGAGGAAGTTAGCGATGTCGAGGTTCGTCACGTTTATATAAAATATCACCTATGTGACCTTGTGGAAAGTCAGAGGTCACAAGTTCTCTTCTCAACAGTTACGAAGGATTGGTTAATTTTGGTCAAAGACACGAGTGGATAAATTCAAGCTTCTCCTTAGAATGATTTCAGAAAACCCTCCTTCTAAATTGTTCTTAATGGGTATGTGAGGGGTAATGATAAAAAAACTAGGCGTTCCTCTCTCTATTTCTAGGAATGGATGTGGAGTAAAACAGAGGAGGCTTTAATAGAAAATACAGGCAGGGATTTGGAAGAATGTATCAGGCTTCAACGAGAGTTTCGAGAGATTCACCACAACATTATTCGAGAAGGTGCGACAGATCAAAGGGTTGAAGAATGCTTAACCTCTCGTCCTCCAGCGACTGATTTCGCTCTGATAGGCAATTTGCCGCCACTCTCGGATAGTCCTGATCGACTTATTCGTGCCGTCACCGTTTGCAGACAAATGATCAAATTAAAGCACTCAGATTCTCCCCAAATCGCTCAATGGCAAGACAGACTGATTGAGGACTGGGGAGAATTGAGAGAGCTCCTTGAAACTAGAGGAGAATTGCTTCAAGCTGCTGGAAACAGACTTCTTTTGCTTAATCGCTGTGAAGTAAGTCATGACTTGATATATTTAATTTAATTACAAAACGCATGTTTCTCACACTTTGAATAGTAAACATATTATACTCACAGGCATGGATAAATAACCAAACAAGAGCATAATTCACTTCCCCAAAAGGTTTATCTATTAATCTAGATCTTCATTCAAACTCTTATTACTACATTTTGCCTCAAATTTATTTGTCCCTTTATTAAAACCCGTTAATTAGATTTTAATTTTAATCGTTGGCACTCGATCTCTTTCGGATCATCTACATATTCCACTTTAAGTATCTTTAAAGCGAACTTCACTGTGGTCATTCGAACAGATCCTTCATAAAGAACCACAGTGAAGTCGTGGCGTAGAGTAGAATGGTTGGTCGATCTGAAAAAAGACATTGACCCAGAATTGATCTCCGATTCAATGAATCGAACGCATATCAACCTAGAGAAACAGATGAAACCTGCCAAATCTAAAGGGAGATTCTATGTCAGATTTCTATTACTTCTTGTCTGGTTGTGAATTCATAAGTCGTTCTTTTTTATCTGGTTGACTTGCAAATAATTCCCAAACAAAACCTAGAATCTTCGTACTGACCATGGGGTGAGGGTAGGTAAGGGAGTATTAGAGATGAATGGAAGTGAAGAAGAAGTGGGGTGTTTATGTTCCCTAGATAGTAGTGAGACGTGTGTAGATTTTAGATTACCAAACCACGAAAAGCGTACATCCAAGGCTTCTGATTCAGTTTATTTGGCCCTCGGTAAATGCCAACGTGATTGGTTTAAAAGTATTATTATCATATCAAATGACAGGCGTTTTGATGATTATCATTAGCTCTTTTGTTGACTTTAGGCTTCACAGAGGGAAAGAACATCAAAGTGAAAAAGTCGAGAGGGGGGGGGGGAATAGAAGAGTGTTTCAAAGATGCAAAAGAGACAGACACTATGGAAGAAAAAAGGTGAGGTGAGTACTGTTGAACTAGTGGAATATGACCTACAGTGGGGTCATGGTAGCTTGATGTTATAAGTCAACTGCCGGTTAATAGACTTTTTTGTCGTATGACTATACCTTGCCCAGGGTGCACCATGTGGAAGTAGGTCTATCGCACACTCCGATTGGTTTAACATAAAACAAATATTTTTTTCTCTTTAAATTAGTTGCATGATTGACTTGGGTGAATTTCGTATTTATGATTTGATTTTAGGAGGTAGTAGCAGACTTGAACGAGAAAATGCTCACTTTCCCAAAGGTGTTGGGAGCGGATTCGCAGTCTCTAGCGAGGCAACAACGCCAACAGGCCAACTTCAGACAATCTACTATCCCAATTGGAAAGAGGGTGGGTTATACAAATGAACTCCCAATTCTTATTTATCCAATCAAAATAACTATTTACAAATGATTGCTAATGAATGACCTAACCACAAACCGAATTAACTACTTAACATTCTGCCTTATGAGTTTTGATTGAGGTGAGCTGTCTTCTTTAAACTTCTTAAGAGGATGTTATTTCAATTATGATCAGTTGGAATACAATTCAGGTAATCTCATTCACAGATAATTTCATCCTCGCTGAATTCTAGCGCCCACTTTTTCGCCAACATATTAACAAGGAATGCTGTGTAATGAAGATGTGTTGTGTTAGTTCAACTCGAATGTCATGCTCACTTTGAAATTGAATTCGCCATCCACGAGGTTTCACTCTGATGAACGCATAAAGATTATGCATTTTTAATCCCGTCTAATCACGAATTTTCTTTTAAGAACTATTCCCTCTCTGATTAAACCTTGTCCTTAATGCAAGCACTTGCATTTTCACGACTGTTTTAATTTGTGGGGGATTTTATAGCACCTATTTATCATAGACCTGTAATGGCGCTTAATGGCAAAATAACGTTGAAAGTGCAGGCAGGTAAATCTTAAAATCTAAGGGAAATAGTTGAGTCGAAAAGTATTTCAATGGGAAATAATTAGGTTGGAGAAGAGGCGGTGTTGAATTCCTTTGCATATGAGCAACGAAATTATTTCAGATTGTCAGTGGAGCAGTGGCCACCCTGCCTGATGCCATATCAGAGATCGATTCGAGTCATTCACCAACGAGGCTTCACGATGCCAACCCCCCTCCCTCCCCTCTACAGAATACGGGTGTTTGGAAATTTCTTTTTACTTGGGTTCGGGAATAATTCACATCGTCAACTGCATCATTAGTTGATTAACTCCTAATGTGCAGCATTGACTTCGTTGGTTTAATGCAATAATGTACTCCTTAGATTCCAGTATTTATTTCATCTCTCAATTCACATCGATCAAGTATTTGACCTCATTATATGCACTCCTGGTGTAAACCAACCTTATTTCCATTTCAACGTATTTCCCAACATTCAAGCACTTGTCTATATAAAAATACATATACAAATCACATTTACACTGACATAATCCAAAATGATATCGTTGTTTATTAATGCTTCATGGTGAATAAGATTATTACTGAAGGTGGAAAATGGCGTAACCTTTAAGGTTGTAGGTAAAGTTTGTTTGCCATTAGTTTTACAATGAAGATAGCATATCAAAGGAGTATAATTCATTCGATTTTTGGGGCCTCAAACTTAATGATTAAAATCCTAGTTTACTGCATAGGGTTTCATTCACAATTTTCAGCGCCTATTGATAGGTAGAATAATTGGAGTATTCAATCTTACATCTTCAAGCTAATTTTGCTCTTTGAAAGGCCCGAGAAAGTTCAACAAGTAAATCTTATTTATTTTAGCTCTTTTAGCCAGATAGAGCAAAATCATTTTAAATGCATTAGAAATCTTTAGAGTTGACTTTCATTGGCCGGTTGATTTAATTTTGGGGTTGGCCATAACACTTCCATAATAACTGATATCATTTAATTTTACTTATTATTATCAATATTATATAATAAATTTTGACCTCTGACTTCTTCGAATAAGAATCATAAGGTAACTTGAGTTATTAGGGTTCTCATTGGCGGACCGCATGAAGAATGACCTTGGAGGCACAAACACTTGAATATGATTGGCTTTTCCTGTAGTCCAATACTTATCGGTTGTCTATTGAAATATCTGTAATTCACAAATTAGTTCACAATAAGTTGTACAACTGGATTGAGCTGGATTAAAAAGATTCACATTAATTTTCCTTGTGAACAAACTAGCCTATTTAATTTTTTTACAAATTAGTCAAATCTAGGAATGATTGAATTGTTTTAACAAGTGCAATTTGTTTAAATTTGCATTTTTCCTTCAAAGGTTAACTGGGTGGTCCGAGCGTCCAACGTGTTGTTGCCGCTTTATGCTCAGGGAGATGCAGCTGCAATTCGAAGCCAAAAACAGAAAATGCTCGAGGCTTGGGATAAGCTCAATGCCGCCATTGAGACTCGAACTCGAATGCTTAGGGATGCTGAATCACTCTCCAGGTGGCTTATATGGCTACATCATGGCTTGAGTTGGATCATCTCTGCTGAAAATCTCATTTCAACTGCAAAGGAAATGGAGAATGAGGCAATTGAAGTAAACTGTAGGAGGTATGTCAATGGATTAATTTTTGTGTCGTTTTAAATTAATTTTGGAAGGTGGGAGCTTGTTTAAAACTCCAATGTTTTACTATAATACCATGATATTTGGCCGTTTTTCACCATCGTAAAAAACTTTGAACTCAGAGTCTAGTGAAGTAGCTAAATGCCGACTAAGAAAAGGGCGCAAAGTGGAACCAAAGCCTTTGACTGAATCTGCTCCCTGTTTCAGGCTCCATTATTCGATTTTCAGAATCACTCACCTGTTTCCATGCTTAACTCAAATGTGAGGAGTCTAATGCTGATTAATTGAATGGGCTGAAATACACTTCACTTGTATTTTTCATCAAATAACCTTGATGCTTGCAGGATGACAAAAGCTAACCCGATTTTAATATAGCAGATTTCAATAGAGTTCGGTCAAGATGAACTCTAACCCTCCTCTTCCCCCTCCCCCCCCCTACCCCACCTCCAACTTCCAATTCATTGATACAAGTACCTTCTCAAGATGAGAAACCACAAATATATTCGCCTTGTTGAGAGCTATAGGTCCATTATAAATTGCTTTTATTGTATCCATCTAAAATGAACATAATACAACTGTGACTTTGTATTTATTAAGTACAGTCAGTCGATTAACTTATATTATCTATCTATTTATTTATTTCAAGTGGCAGGCGTTTTGATAATTATCATTAAACATCAAGCTGATTTCGGGCTTCACAGAGAGGAGGAGGGACATCAAAGTGACAAAGAAGTCGAGAGGGAGAGGGAACAGAGGAGTGATTCACAGGTGTAAAGGAGACAGCCACAAAGGTAGAGAAGAAGGGTATGATGGGTACTGTGACAAGGCTCGAATTTGACACGCAGTGGGATGATGGTAGTTTGAAGTCAGAAGTCAACTGCCGGTTAATAGACATTTTTGCCGTATGAGTATGCGTTGCCCAGGGTGCACCGCTTATATTATTATTATTAATGTTGTTAAAAATACTGGCCTCCAGTATAGACATTTTTTTTCTGAATGCTAACTTCATACTTTTAGAGCAATTTTACAATACGAATTGCCAAGGTTCGTGAATCAGCACAAACAACTTTGGGAGGAGATTAGCGCCTGGGAGTCGAGCATTCTTTTCCACTGTGAAGAGGGGGCTGCAGATAGCTTCAATTGCCTCCTCGAAACCGACGATTTTGAAGTGGACCCCACCTTCATTGGAATTCACAAAATGCTGGCCAGAAATGTGAATCAACTCAAAGCTGAGTGCGAAGATCTCCCAGCCAACGGCGCATTAACCTCCGCAGTACAAAAGGCTGTTTTTGTGATTCTTGGCGACGCGAAACCCCTTTTACCCTCGCAAGTTAAGAAGAGCGGAGCAGCGCTTCTCCTGATTCATTTTTATCAGCTGAAAATAAATTGGTGGCGATATTGGCGACACTTGAAAGTCCTATCTGTTAAATTGGACATTTTAAGGTAAGCAAATAATCGGAGCATTTCAAATGAACGCAACAATAAGGAATACCAAAACACATGAGCTTTTTGTGCTTAACTTGTGCTTGGTCATTTTAGTGAGATACTTAAAAGTTGTGCCAATCGTTATAATGACGAAGGGCTGTTTCACTTTTTCCTACTTTAATCCATGTTCAATTATGTTTAATGCTTTTTATGATGTACAGGGACTTGCAAAACATGGAAAATTGGATTGAAACCATGGAGGCAAGAGTGGAAACCGATGATCTAGGCGAGAGCCTAGAGGAGACAATGGCGCTGCGAGAGGAGCATAGCAAGTTCTCACGTGCAGTGGCCTTTCAAGAGGAGAAGTGTAGACGTCTGGCAGAATTTGAAATAGTAAGGAATGCCTCATCATCATGGTTCTTATTGTTGCTGTATTTCTACATACTTTCATTGCGCGACATTACCATTCTCGCGCTTTGTAGAATCAGTTAGAAGAATCGGACCCTGACTGGGAGATGGGCTTGGAAAGGCAGATGGTGGAGAATTTGGAAAGGTTAAATATTTTGCCAAGAATACCGAGTACCCCCGAGGCAGTATCTTCCGAATCCATGTCCCTTCAGGATGACTATAAACCGGCTGAAGAGCTACCATTCGGTGAGTGAATTCTCATGGCGTATCATAAAATTCTCGTTTTAACATTTATTTATTTCAAATGGCAGGTTTTATGATTGTTATCATTAGCCCTTTAGCTAAATTCGGGCTTCACCGGGGGTGTAGGTACATCAAAGTGAGAAAAATTTAAGAGGGGGAACGGAAAAGTGATCCAAGGATGCAAAAGAGATAGACAGGCACAAAGGCAGAGAAAAGGTAAGGTGAGTATTGGGGAAGTGGTTGAATATGACATACAGTGGGGTCATGGTAGTTTGAAGTAGGGAATATGAAATGCAATGGGGCCTTGTTAGTTTGAAGTCAGAAGTCAACTGCCAGTCCGAATATGACATACAGTGGGGTCATGGTAGTTTGAAGTTAGAAGTCAACTGCCGATTAATAGACTTTTTTTGCCGCATGAATATACGTTGCCCAGGGTGTACTACGTGGAGGTAAGTCTATCGCATACCCCAAAATTATTATTGCAATTTCGCCTGCAATTCCACCATCCGGGCCTTATCGGCTTGACAAAGTGGCACAAACAGCCGAGCCGAGCCCCGTTTTAACATTTTTTCAGAGCAGGAGTACTTGGCATGAGTGGCTAATGCATATAACTTAGCATAGCATTCTGTGACATTCATAATCATAACAATGTAAATACCAAAATTATTATATTTTTTTTTTCAATGCTCCTAGCTCAATACGATTTGCTTGAAATATGAAAATACAACTTAAAGACATTTCTTCTCATAAGACAAATTTAGTGGAATTAGATAGGAAAATCAAGCAAATGAATTTGAAACCATGAAAATACGAATTTCTCTGAATTCATGCCTTCGTTATTCTTAAGACAACTACCGAAAGTCAACGACAGAGTCAATCTTAAGAGAGGAGAGTTTGTGTAAAATTAGGCTCACTCGAAATTTATATATTATAAGTATATATAAGTTTAGGAGTCCAAGAAATGAGAGTCGAGTTCGTATAAATGCACGAGCCGAAGGAACTGGATGCTATGCCACTGTTGAGTGTGATATTAACAAATCTTCACGTTTTCGGGGTTTCTGCCTTGAGGCGACAGGTCATGCTCGTAGTATTTTGAGTTTTTTTTAAAAAAAGAGCGGTAAATTTGCCTAAATTTGCCGATACTGTTTTCAAGCAATAATGCAGGAATTTTATCTTAATGGTTTAATATAAAGTACAAAGTTATAATACCCGCTAGAAATTGAGTAGAAAATTCCACTCAGAACACTTTTGATTGGAAATTTCACATGAGACACAAGAGAAACGACTAAAGGCAACTCTGCCTTCTCATTAAAAAAATGTAGCTTCGAGCAAAAGACTTTTCATGTAAGTTTTGCGTTGCCTTTGTTGATAAGATTTGCTATTGCGGATGATGCTTTCAAGTGAGGAAAAGTCACAAGTGTGTTCCTCTCAGAGCAATTGGCAATGATTGTTTACACTCGAAGCCATATCTGAAACGCAATCCGAACTCATAAAACATGAACTCAGTTTAAGCTGTCACATATTTTCTCTTCTTCGCTTACAATCAACTGTACATATAAATTGCGCAATGTAGACAGAGACTTTACACTTGTCTGAATATCATTATCACCGTTTACATTATAACTATAGACATGCGAGTCATTGGCATAAGTGTCAAAACTTCCATCACTATCACCTTCCTCCTTGTTCAACACATCAGCCGTTAAACTTTCCTGTCTCAACCTTCCTCCATTCAACTTAGATTTGAAATAAAATGTTTAGAGATAGTGAATGGAAACAAGCTAAATACTCATGTAATCTCATGTTCCAGGAGGTACTGAAGCTTATTGATCGGAAATGTGTATTGGATTATGAAAACTCATTTTTGAGGTACGTATTTTCTTTTCACTTCATCTTACCTATAACCTACCAAACATGCTTTTCTGCAAAAAAATTATATTTTTTAAAATGTTAAATCTGGAACTATTTTATTTATTAAGAGCGTCTTGAAGGAGTGCTCTATCGGAAATTCCGCGGTCAACGTTTATCCGATCGTGGGAAACGATCAAGTCGTTGGCAGAAGTGCTTCGCTGTCCTGAATCCAACCACTATTTCTCTTCATGTACTTGATATAAGTAGCACATCAGATATCAAAAGGTTTGTTTCAAGCAATGAAAATTGGCAAATGTAATTATTATTATGTATTAGAAATCTTCCTTTTCTTCACAAAATAGTGTACTCAAGATTCTTCCCGTTTGATCACGCGTTTATCACCAGAATTAATCCTGACGAAACAGAAAATGTTAAAATGTTTCATCTTTAAAAGTTTTTAAACACCTATTGGGTGGGCAACTAAGTCATTGCCGTTTTTGTTGACGGATTCACTCTATATTTTCTTTTGTTTTGTTAACGTGGCCAAAGCATCTAACCTATATTTTTTCTTACTGTATAGGCTTCTAGGTTAATTAGTAATAAATTTTTTTGTTTAGTTCTTTAGTTTTGTTTTTATTCCAATTTAAAAATGAAAGAACAGGACGTGCACTTCCGACACATTTTATTGCATTACTTCCGAAAAGGCAAGAACGCATCGCAAGCACAAAAGAAGTTATGTGCCGTATATGGAGATGAAGCCTTAAAAGAAAGGCAGTGTCGAAATTGGTTTGAAAGATTTCGTTCCGGTGATTTTTCACTGAAAAATTCACAACGATCTGGCCGCCCAGTCGAAGTGGATGAAACCCATATCAAGGCCATTATCGTCGATTCAAATCGTCACAGCACAACACGAGATATTGCAGAGAAGCTCAATGTGTCGCATACAAGCATTGAAAAAAAATGAAAAACCCTTGGTTATGTCAAGAAACTTGATTTATGGATCTCTCACCAGTTAAAGAAAATTCATTTGACGCAGCGGATTAGCATCTGTGATTCGCCGCTACTGGAACGCAATGTGAATGATCCATTTCTGAGGAACCTAAACAGTTACTGGCGACGAAAAGTGGATAGTTTATAAGAATGTTACTCGCAAGAGATCATGGGTGAAGAAGCAAGATCAACCAGCCCAAACAGTATGAAAAGCAGAGATTCACCAATAAAAGATTATGCTGTCAGTCCGGGGGGGGAGATCACAAAGGAATTTTGTATTTTGAACTCATGCCGCAGAACCAAACGATAAATTCAAATGTGTATGTTGAGCAACTCGAAAAACTGAAGGATGCAATTGAAGATAAGCGGCCTGCATTATCAAATCGGCGGAAGGGTGTTGTTTTCCATCATGATAACGCAAGGCCCACCCCCCACACATCTTTGGTTACTCGGCAAAAATGATTGGTACTGGGTTGGGATGTTTTGTCACACCCACCATATAGCCCTGCCCTGACCTTGCGCCTTCGGATTACCATTTGTTTCGTTCCATGCAAAACTCCTTAAATGGTAAAATTTGTAACAACGCGGATGATGTAGGATCACACCTAATTCAGTTTTTTAATAGCAAAGACCAGACATTTTACGAACGGGGAATTTTTACACTGCCAGAACGATGGAAAAAGGTCATCGACAAGAACGGCCAATATCTAACTGAATAAAGTTATATTTTTAAACAAAAATTCCGAATTTGCCTTCTTATTTGAAATCGGCAATGACTTAGTTGCCCACCTAATAGAATAAATGGTGAAGACTGAACAGAATCGAAATGATGAATTGATTCAGGATATCTAGTGATCTGTACACATCTTTACACACATGTCTCGAGTCATTTATTTCTTCAACTAGTCAATATCATCAATCAATGACGCTTACCTCAATGAACTCACCGAATATAGAATGACCACAAGATACAAGCTGATATCCCACTCGGATGAGGGAAAAGTACAAATTCTTGTTGTCATTGATGAAGGCCCATTCAATTTTGACTCGAACAATGCGCAGTGTATTGTAATTCATTTAACTTCACCTAAACACTCATTGAGCTATTCTTTATTTTAACAACAAGGTGACAATAAAGTGGAATACAATACTTACTCTTATTTAGGGATATATTTGCACTTGGATTGAATACCATTTAATAGTGGAAACAGACGTTGAGCCTTTTTCCCTTCTCTGTAATTACTTTTGCTCCTTTACAGAACTTGGAGAGCAGAAAATGTTGAGAAAGACCGAAGGATACCGCTATGTCGTGAATTAGCAACTACGCTGGTGGAACAGAAAGGAGGCGTCAGATGCGCTTTCAAAATTCATAATCTCGAAACTGGCGACTCCTTTGCATTTAAAGTATGTGCAACTTAACATTTGAGACGGTGATATGACCCTTTCACCGACTTACTTTAACTAATCATTGTATCTACTTCTTTACTATTAAGTTTACAATTAAACCAAGACCATGGTAATGAGCATAATGTTAAGATAAGTGTGGATGGATTGACTGCTTTTTCAAAGCCCGACACAGTGATCTCAATCACGGTAATGGATGGATAATTGCAGGTGGTCTGAGTGTGAGTGTTTCAGAGGTCTGCCTGCTAGCCACTCCCCCCCCCCCCCCCCCACTCGACATTGCGATAATGGAATATCGTGACTCGCTCAATTCTAACTTGCTCAAGTTTTGCTTGCTCCATTTGAGCAAAATTCGGCCCTTAAAGACACAGATTGAACAAGGAGTGAGAAGCTTGCACTCTAAAAATGAGAGACAAGGAAACAGGAGAGCACTTTTTCATCGTAGCTCCATAATAATCGATTTTTCCTGACAATGGACTATTTCAATTCAGTTGGATCTTGCTGATTTTGCAACCATTCAATTTTTACATAATTTTACCCCATAGCAGTTCACATCTATGCCTTCACCCAAATGTGCACATTGTGAGGACAATTTTGTAGAGACTAACAACTTAATTTCGACCTTCTTTTACACTGAGTATCTGATGAATGGGAAGGTAGAATGTTCCACACTCTCCATAATGTTGCAATGAGAGTTGAATAATGCAAATTAATTTAAACAGGGAGGGGATTTTAAAAAAGATAATGGGACTAAAAGAATCTGTTCAAAAACGCAAAATTCATTGATTTAATTTTCATAAAAATTTTGATGTTGAAAACCACTGCAAATGTTTTACATTTGTGAATATGCTTTAAACCTAACTGAAAGTCAGCCAATCACTTACAAATAGTGAAGCTAAAAATCGGGGCATATTCAAATGGTATGAACTTCAAGAAGGAAGCAGAATGTTTACGCCAACCGTATTTTTGAATGACTAATCATATTGGCCCATTTCTATTCGTGGCGTATAATTTCCTGGAAAACAAACAGCCGTGACTATAATGGAAAGGTAAATAGAAATTACGATACTTGATATGAACAATAAAGCGTACTTGATTATTTTAAATTTAATCCCATATTTAACTGTTTATATTCAATTAAAAGTGACTGGTTTAATGCATGTGAGCTTATTGGCTTATTTCTACCAATTGGACATGTTGGTAAAAGTAAATTATTATGTACTGTAGGCCAAGACTAAAGAATCTGCTGAGAAATGGGTGAGAGCTCTAAATGATGCCTCCTCAAAGGCACCGCCATTAGAGCAATGCGAACAGGAACAACTATCTGCGAAGGACACCGGGACTCGTGTTATCTCCTATTCCTTCAGCTCAGATCACAAATCCCAGTCCACTTCCTGTCTGCCCATTCGTCGACTGATCACATCGAAGAGGGCGCGTCATCGAAAACACAATCACTATCTCACAAGGTGTCGAAATATCTCAGGCTCATCAACTTCGTCTTTTGATCCTGAAGAGGCGGCACTCCGGTCTCTTGGCCCACATTCTCTTCTCTCTTCACTCGGAATGCCTTCTGTGGAGAGTGGATCTCAGTCTCGAGCGTTAGTTGCGTTGATCCTTCCTCTTAGAGTTCTGAGAAGACGTGTCATGAGGCATACCCATATGACCAGCTCAACCTCTCATCAGTCTCATTTCAGTGCTGATGCGGTGCTGACAGGCGGAAGTAGTTCTGGAGGCGTTGGGGCTGTTAGCAGCGGTGTCGGTGAAAAGTTGAGCAGTGATGAAGAAGATGAGTCGTCCATTGAAGAGGAGTCACGCTTTATTGAATCTACTGATGATACAACGGGTGAAAAAGATAATCGAGCAGGCGAAGTAGAAGAAGAAACGGATATTGATGAAATCGACGAGTTTTCGTAGACTGTGATAAATAATTTATTATTATTATTATAAATGCTTCCATCAATGAGTTTAAATAAATGCCTTATACTCTCTACCCGACTTTGGGTCCACTTTTTCCGGTGTGTTATATCACAGCTCTTTAGTGACACTATTTATTTCAAGCTAATTAACGTCCAGAGTTCGATTCAAATTGAACGGTCTGAATAGGTTATGTTCTCTTGAAACAGGAGTTTGTATTTAGCGTTTATCAATTAATTTCATATATGATTTGGACCCCTGGTTCTCGGTTGTATAACTTCAATTAGTATGAAAGAATAAATTTGTTCAAATTTTAAAATAGCAGACAATTTCCTCGGAATCGTAATATGGCTTTTAAGATTCCTGATCGTGGGGTGTGCGATAGACCTACCTCCACGTGGTGCATCCTGGGCAATGCATACTCATACGGCAAAAATGTCTATTAACCGGCAGTTGACTTCTGGCTTCTAACTACCATCACCCACTGTATGCCATTCGAATACTTACACAGTACTCACGACACCTTTTTCCTACCTTTGTGTCTGTCACTTACATCTTTAAAACACTCTTCTGTTCCCCCCCCCCTCTCGA